CTGAAATCCCGCTTACTGGGGAAGGGTCTCTTGTCCTCCAGCCTAGCCTTGGGATCTTCTTCCCCAGTGCATCCCACTTGGGTATCCCAGAAGCTGGACGAGATGGCCCTCAGGTTTGACCCAGTTCAGAGTTCCTCTGGTGGCCTGAGGCTTCCAAAGTTCTTCCTACCCAGATAAAAGAAGTCCATAGGGGTTCAGTAGAGGGGACCGAGAAACCCCGAGCCCCCATTCTGGGGCCCTGAAGACCTCATCTCCAGCTTTCTAGAGATTAAAATCTGGGCCTCCTATTGTTGACCATGTCCCTCATGGATCTGAGAGTCCTCTTGGGTGAACCTGATCCAGGTGTGGGCAGACAGATATGCATGAACTTGGGCTGAAGGAAAGGATGGGTCAGATTCTTCCTCTGGTAGGAACCAGGGGGTCGGATGACATCCTGGGGTCAGGGCTCAAAGTGGAAGTCCTCGGTGTTCTTCCAAGCCTTGGCCATCTTGGCTTCTGCATCTTGACCTGAAAGCTGGAGTGAGCTGATGATGGATCCAGACCCCTTTGGAGCGCACCAGCCCTACGTCTGGGTCGCTATGGGGCTTTGCTTGCAGTTGAGATCCAGCAGGGTGGAGAGTGAGCAGAGCAGAAGCTTCCTTGTTCCTCAGAAGTTCTTCTTCTTCTTCTTCCTCCAGGGCGATTTTTCTACCAGAGGCTGGTGGAGTTCATGTCCAGGTAGGTCCAGAGCTGGTGGTTGAGAAGACCTCCTTCCTGTCCCCTTCAAAGGCCTGCAGCAGAGCTTCCAAACTTGGCCACTTTAAGACTTGTGGACTTCAACTCCCAGAATTCTCCAGCCAGCTTTGGGATTCTGGGAGTTGAAGTCCACAAGTCTTAAAGTGGCCAAGTTTGGAGACTTCTGGTCTAGTTAGTCGGGGGTTTGTCCATCTTGGTCGCTTTAAGAAAGGTGGACTTCAACTCCCAGAATTCCTCAGCCAGCTTTGGGGATTCTGGGAGTTGAAGTCCACAAGTCTTAAAGTGGCCAAGTTTGGAGGCTTCTGGTCTAGTTAGTCGGTGGTTTGTCCATCTTGGTCCCTTTAAGAAAGGTGGACTTCAACTCCCAGAATTCCTCAGCTAGCTTTGGGGATTCTGGGAGTTGAAGTCCACCCTTTCTTAAAGCGACCACGGTGGAGAAATCCCAACCCTAACCCCTGGCCTACAGGAACCTCAGATACCTTCACACCGATCACTTAATGATTTTGTTCTAAAGGAGGGTGAAATGAGGAACGATGCAAAAATAGGAAAAAAGGACAAGACTCATCGTGGCTTATTTTTGGAGACCCTTGTCAATATATAACCTTGCTCTCTGGATGCAAAAGAGGCGGAGAGACCTGCTCCCCGTAAAAATTTACTCTGTTGGTAGAACAGGGGCCTGAATTCTCCGCCAGGTGGGAAGGGCAGGAGCTAAAATTCAGTAAAAAAAATAAAACAAGTAACCACCCCATCCACGTGTTATGTCCAGTTGAGAAATAACAGAAATTCCCAACAGATTCAGGATGGGAAAGATGAGAAATTTTTCTCTTCTCTTTTTTTTCATGCCTATTTTTATTTTATGTAAAACAAAGGTAAAGTACAAAAATGCAGAACTAAAAAACAAACAAAACCAAACTCCAAATACACACACAAAAAACCCCCATACAAAAGTGTTTAATGTGTGTAATGTGGATTGTTGATTTTTTGATGCACCTCCTTTTAATGTTCAGATTGTTTTGTGAGAAAAAAAAAATTAAGTTGTAGGAAAAGTTTTCCTAGCTGTTGTGTTGCCTCTTTTATGAAGATATTTGTATCTGTGTGTGTTTGTGTGTGTATATACACGCAAATGCTCCAACCCTGGAGGCTTCCAAGAAGAGATTGGATAACCCTTTGTCTGAAATGGTATAGGGTTTCCTGCCTAAGCAATGGGCTGGACTAGAAGACCTCCAAGGTCCCTTCCAACCCAAAAGATGGATGGACTCACCATGGTTGGAAGGCATGAAAGACCAGGCAAGGGTCCTTCTCTGTGGCCCCTGCCTGGATGTCTGTCACCTAATCAAAAAAAAAACCCCACTTGTGTGTTGTGTTGTGTTGTGTTGCGTTGACCACCAGGAGGCAGCCAGAGACCAGTGTCCTAAATGGCCAGAAGTTGTTCCTTGAGGCTTGAGGGCCTGTCCAGGGTTGGATCGAAGAGCTTTCTCTGTTGATATTCCAGATGGGGGAATGCAGCTGGTCTTCTAGATTGTAAGGGTTCTAGGTTTGGAGGAAAGGAGGAAGGAAGGAAGGAAGGAAAGGAAGAAGAAGAAGAAGGGGGGGGAGTTAGCAAGGAAGATGGAACGGAGGAGGAAGGAAGAAAAGGAAGAAGGGGAGAGAGGAAGGAAAGGGAGAGGGGGAAGGAAGGAAGAGAGTAAGGAAAGAAGGTGGAAGGGAGATGGAAGAAGAGGAAAGTGAA